GCGGATTTCAGTCCGTCGCCGAAGAGACTCAAACCGGAAGCCTGGCCAGCTGGTCTTTATGCGCACAGGAGCACCAGAAACTGGAAGAGCAGCTACCCGGTGCACATGTGCGCACTGGGAAGATGATCTTCCGGCTTCCAGAGTGCACATGTGCACCAGCCACTTCGTCTTCTGGTCTCTGGCATGCATGCTTGGGCAAAGAACAACTGGCCAGCGCACATATTTATGCCGGAAACCAGATCATCTTCCTGGCATGCACATGCACACCGGGCGGCTGCTGTTCTGGTTTCCAGGATGCGCGCTCCCGTTTCAGCACTCGGTGTCAAAAAGGTTCACCAACACTGGAATAGCCTGTATTGTTCCTGCAAGTTAAGTTCCATTGGACTCAATGGAATTGAGTTCAAGGTATAGAATCAACTGCAAGAATAAATACACTTGAGTACAGTTAGATATTTATGCAATATTAAGCACAGAAGCTCTACACCAACATGCAAAAGGAGTAGTTGTTGTTCAAGTAAAAAAGATATTGCTTTTTTAATTGTATAAAAATATGAATTAGAAACAGGGGTGGGATGCAAATATTTTTACTACTGGCTCAGTGGGCATGGCTAGGTGGGAGTGGTTAGGTGGGAATGGCCATGTGTCTGGGTGGGCGTGGCTTCTTTTTTTTTTTTTTGCAGCAACCCCTCCACCCCCGTGCTCCATTTTTTTTTGCCTCCTGGGCCTCAGGGAAGCCTCCTATGAGGCCATATTTACTCCCAGGAGGCTTCCCTGAGGCCCAGGAGGCAAAAAAATGGAGCACAGTACCTGTGCCTGAGCCTCAGGGAAGACTCCTTGGTGAAGCAGTAAGACAACAAGGGGGATCCTGGCACAGCTGATCGTTGGAACAGCTGATCGTCGGGAGGAAAAAATACTGTAAGGAATGACTGGGCGGGGGAGAATGCAGTCAGCGATGTCGCACATGACATGACATCACACATGCACGATAAGGACTGGGCAGGGAGGGGAGGGTGGGGAGGGGCGGGACCAGCTGGTTCATTTGCCGGTTCTATGAACTGCAGAATTGTAACAACCGATTCTACCGAACCGGTAGAATCCCACCCTGATTAGAAATTGAAGTCCAGTGACAGTTCCATATATTTTTTTCAGTTTTTTTCTTTTCAGTCATATCAGCTCAATTATTTCTTCATTGGTCAATACGACAATACTTTCCAAGTTTCTTCTTGTAATTTATGCATTCCACATTGTTGGAAATATCACTTGTGAGGAATGACAGTGGATGTTTTATTTCTACAGAATAGCACTATGTCTATGACTTAGTTCACAATTCAGTTTGATTAATGGTAATTTAGTTGATGAAATCCTGTTGCAAACTGGGTGATTTGAGACAGACATCACCTTAAATAATAACAGTGTTGGAAAGAAAATCCATCTGGTTCAGGTCCAAGCTGGGAATAAAATAAAATGGAGGTGGATTGGAAAGAAAGTGTAATGATGAACATAACCACACGTAAAGACAGCATGCAGTTCTGGGTCAGCTGAACAATTATCTAGATGAGTGCCAAGATTTTTATACAGGTCCTGAAATGCTGCTGGTGTGTGTGTGTTGTGCAATGAAGTGGCTTGGTTTCTGAAAGGGTTTTGGGCAATTCCTATTGTGGCTAATAGCTTTCATCCTGTGCTGGATCTTGGGTGAGGGGCTGCTGTACTAATTCTACATTCTGCATGTTTTAGCTGTCATTTGCTGCAGGGAGTTTTGAAATATCCTGTCTTGAATGGATTTTTGCCTGCAGTATTTGATTTGCTTATGAATTGAGCCATCTAGATAGTTGGCTTCCTCTTTCAATAAGCTCTTTAGCTTTAAGTACTGGCATCTGCTGTGGGCTATTAAGAGAGACTGGAGGCTGCTTTCTGCCTCTAATGTGATGTTTCCCCATTTCTTCTTTAGGGAAATATAATATTCTGCTCTTTTTCATATTTCCCAAAATATTTCATTCTTCGGAGGGGGGGGGGATTTCCCACAACAGTTTCTCTGATTTTGATTGAGTTATCTGAATCCAAAAAATTGGATATCCCAATTATCATAGTTAAGGAAACCATAGCTTATGTCTGAACTCAATCACTGAAGGAATAACCATATCTTTAAAAAAAAATAATCCAAATTTAAATGCAAAAAATAGTATCAAATTGTCTGTTGAAAATGTCCAAAATAGTAGATGAATTCATTTGGAAAGTGGCTTACAGGATGCTTTATATTAATGTGAAATTGTCTCTGGGACCGTACATGCCTTTAATGTCCTTCATAGTTATCTGCCTTATACCCAGGAATTTTTGAAAACAATCTGCAGACTTGCTTCTGCTACTTGAAAGATATCTAGTTAGTATATATATATTGCTTCACAGTGCTTTACAGCCTTCTCTAAAATGTTTTTAGAGTCAGCATATTGCTTCTAACAATCTGATTTTATTAACCTCAGAAAGATGGAGGCTGAGTCAACCTTAAGCCGGTCAGAAACTCTTGGCAGTAACAGATAACAGATAATCAGAGTTGGAAGGGACTTTGTAGGTTATCTAGTCCAACCCCCTACCTAAGCAGGAGACCCTACACCATTTCTGACAAATGGCAGTCCAATCTCTTCTTGAAAGTCTCAAGTGATGGCACTTCCACAACTTCCAAGGGCAAGCTGTTCCATTGGTTGATTGTTCTCACCGTCAGAAAGTTTCTCCTTATTTCCAGGTTAAATCTCTCCTTGTTCAGTTTCCATCCATTATTCCTTGTCTGGCCTTCAGTTGCTTTAGAAAATAGCTTGACCCTTTCTTTTCTGTGGCAGCCCCTCAAATACTGGAAGACTGCTATCATGTCTCCCCTGGTCCTTCTCTAGCCAGGCCCAGTTCCTGTAACCGTTCTTCATGTTTTAGTCTCCAGTCCCCTAATCATCCTGATTGCTCTTCTCTGTACTTTTTCTAGACTCTCAGCATCTTTTTTATAGTGTGGTGACCAAATTTTTTTGATTTTTGAGATTTTAATTTGCTGGTGTACTTCTTCAACCATTGTTCTTATTGTATAAGTGATTTTCAATTACATCCATTTTGTTCAAGTATAATCTGTGGTCAATTTTATTAGATACAGCAATGTGTTTATAAGATCACCTCAGACACACGACCTGCAATTTATCTTATCTCCTTGCTCCCCGTACAGTTCTCCATTATTGCATTGTTCACATCTGATGGGTTATTAATTTTCATTGGAACTGTGCCTTCCCAGAGAACAGATTTTACAAGGGGTATTTTCTTTTTTTTATGCAAAAACTATTCTAATTCATTTTAATGAATATATATACCAAACCACTTTAAGGCAGTATATGGAGGTACAAGCTACTCTTTCCGAGATGAGTGCCAGAAATCAAGTTTGTAAATGGTGAGAAAGGATTTCTCACCATTGGTTGTATTTGCACGATATATCAAGCTCAAGGGAGCCCACCACTTGGTACAATGATAAAGACAGCCTGTGAGTGATTTATTAATAATGCAACGTATCATGAAATTCAATAAAATTTGAGTTGAGCCAAGCAATGCATACCCGTTTAATCATGATTACGTCAAACAAACCTCTTATATTACATCACAAATTGATTTTCTTTGAGGGTACCAGGTAATATGAGTACAGTAGCTTGAAAATCTTTTAAGTAAAGTTAGTATGCATGAATTGCTGTATTATTGTATGACTGAACAACTATGCCACATTTTGACTTCTTCTGTAGTGCCACCATTAAGTCTTTTCACTGTCCTGGCAACTCTTTGGGCAGTTTAGAATATTTCGATGTGTTAAAGCTGAGGGGCATCTGGGAGCTTAAGAAAGTCTAAATCGATTTTCTATTAACAGAAGAAATCAAATTTCCCAGCATTTTGTCCACTGTAATGCAGATTCTAAAAAATAATATTGCGACTTTCTACCATTGAATCCAACCTATCACATCGTGAAACAGAAAACAGCTTTTTAAAAACAAAACAAAATGGAAGGCCCGTGCATGACGGGAAAACATAAGCAGTATGGCTATCGCTTTAATCCGCCCTCTTGCAGTAGTACGGAAGATTTTTTAAAAAGTTTTCCTTTGGGCTTTACGGGAAAATCTTTCTAGGAAAACAAGTCACTTCTTTTAATTTACAGAAGAGGGGAGTTCGCAATTCCAAGTGGAATGTGTACTCCGCCTATATAAGAAAGTGGGGCGTCAGCTTTGACAGGATAATCGTATCTTAACTACAATTCCCAGCATTCTTCGAAAACCCAATGCTCACAGGAATAGCGTTTCATGAACGTAGACACGATGCACATGTCCTCCGCCACAAAATTCTCGCGAGATCTACTCTCCCTTAAACTCTAATTTAGAGCAGCGCGGTGGTTGACGGGAGGAACGGATATTTACATCCCTTTTTCCCTCTTCCAACCTCCCCCAGGATTGGAGCGGTATTTCCTGAAGTGTCTTGCGCGTCTGTCTGTCTGTCTGATGATAGCGACTAAACAACAGAGACAAAGGAAAGGAAGTAAGAGGAGAAAACGAGAAAACTCGGTCCCGAGGCACTCTTCTCGCTTCCCCCAGAGCGCTTTAGGAAATGGCGGCCGACCTTCGGGCTGCCTGCGAGGCATCTCGGGATAAGTAGTCTTTATTCTCGTCCTCTGCGGGTAGGGAGGACCTGCCGAGCCGTTTACGAACTCCACTTCCCATAAGCCAACGGTCGGAGAGGGTTCCTGGCGAGAGCGAATTGGAGGGGACGGGGGGAGGTTCCAGGCTACCTCCTGCCCCCGCTCCCCCTTCCACTCACCCTCCGCCTGCGCCGCGGCGGCTGCTGCTGCTGCGTCGGGTGAGGGAGCGCGAGCGAGTGGCGCAGGCAAAAGCCAGAGGAGGGGTCGGGGGACGCGGGGCTATGCGAGGAGAGAGACGCTGAGAAGCAGCAGCTTTGAGGCCGGGGTGGCGCGGCAAGCCTGGGGAGGTGTGCGTGGGGAGGGCCAGACGGTGCCGCGAGTTCGGTGTGTGTGTGTGCGTGTGCGCGCGTATGCGCTCGCGTGGGGTGGCCTTTACGGGTGCTGAGGTAAGAGGCAAGCGAGGTTTGCCCTTCGTGTATTGGGAAGACAGGGAGGACCTCGAAGCAGGGGTAAAGGTGAATTGCGGGCCTCGGGAGGCCTTGGAGGAGGAGGAGGCCTAATGGGCTGGGATGCTTGCTAGAGAGGAAGGTCGGGCCTGAGGTGGCAAGGAATTAGAATAGTGGGCTGACTAGGCCTTACAGGTCGGTAGGTTGAGGACTTTTAGGAGGGAAGGTAAGAAGTAAACGTCACAGCAGATGGCAGCACCTACCAAGCCTTGGCTAATAAAAAAAGAAGCAAAGCAGTTTTGGGCCTGATTAAAATGTATACAAGGGGGACCACCATGCAATTCCCAGACTATCAGATTAATCTAAGAATTTTTTAAAGACACCGAGCAAGCTATTTTTGTTATAATGTTGCTAGAGAAAACGATATGGAAATGAGTTGTAGTTTTGTAGTTTATTTATGCTGTTTGTAGGCTGAGCTGGACTTGAGAGCTTCCTTTTAAAAGAGTACAAGGCACGAACTTACTCAGTTCTTGAAAAGATAGTAGAAGCCTGTAAAGGAGGAAGGAAGATAATACAGTATAACCCATTATTACTAGTAAATGATAGGGATCTAGTGGGTAGGTGGTAGCTTTATAGGGATGTTTAGCCTTTAAAAAAAGGGGTGGTGGTTTCAATGATAAGCTTGTAAAAAGATTAGAGGAGGAATTGTGCAGGCCAATTCTTACTCAGAAGAAAGTCCCAGTAAGTTTTCATGTTAATATACACAGGATTGCCTCCTTTATTGGGAAGGAAATGTTGAATGGGAACCATTGGAAATAAACCAGAAATATCTATTAAGGAAATATATATGAAGATAAAACATCTGAATGCAGGTGTTGAATCTTGAGAATTGAGGCAAAATTGTGGGCTGAATAATTTTGGATAATTGACTACAGGTTTTGGTTAGGGAAAACAAGAATGGATAGTGGTTGCAGTTGTATAGAACATATGAAATTATTTAATAAAAGGGTTTCTCTAGAAAGCATGTACCATTAATTTTTTCCCCATTGTTAACAAAATAAAAATATAGGATCTGGTGGTGAGATACAAATTATGAATAGGAAGGAAATAGGCATTTTTTTAAGGAAAAATGTGGGTGAGTGATAAAATGTGTAATTGGGATGTGGAATGGGTTTGAGAATAAGGAATTTTTAACCAAAAGGAAAAGTAGTCAGTTCATAGAAAAAATACTGCAGTCTTTCTTGATTGCACTTGGTGGAGGATATATCCATATGGTGATGTGAAAAAACGTTCCCTTTACTTTTTCTTCTGCTCTTCTCATAATGTCTTTAAGTATCAGGCACCAGAGGTGCTAGTCTGTGAGAGCCATGTACAATGGAATAGGACTCCCCACTCCCCGGGGCAGTGGCACCAACGGTTACGTGCAACGGAACCTCTCGGCAGTGCGTCACAAGAAGGATCGGACTGACTACAAGTCAGAAGAGGAGCTGAGGAAACTGGAGTCATCTTTGGTTAAAAAACCCAACCAGGACATCCTGGATCACGAGCGCAAAAGGAAGGTTGAGTTGAAATGCTTAGAACTGGCTGAGCTCATGGAAGAGCAAGGGTGAGTTGTTACAGGATAGTCAAGGCTAAGACATTTCCAAGAGATGATGGTGATCGAGAAGAGCTGTGAGAATAATAATGGTCAACTGGTAGGAGCAAATAAACCAACATTATTATTAGAATATACAGATTTGGGTATGATATGATAAGTATGCTTTGCATCCAACATTTATCTTTTCCGGACTCAGTTTTTACAAAAGGGAGTCTTGTTTATTATTTGTTTGGAATTATTAGCAGAACAAGTATTTAAAATATAATATCTATATGTTGGATAAAGGAATACAGTGTTTGATATTGTATGTTTTTTCTATGTTCAGTTTTCATTTTGAGCAGTGGAGTTGTTCAGAAAACATTTTTTTATCAAAATTTAAGAATAAAATTTTTACATACTTAGTAGAACTTTGGCGATTACAAGTCTTTTAAAATTGGATAATCAGATTTGGGATATACTAGAAATGAAAATGGTTGAAAATAATATGTTTTATACTAACAGTGCCTAATATAAAGCATTTTTGAATATTATATAGAGATTCATGGTAATAACATGCAATAATAATGCATAGTGTAGTCCAGTAAGATAGGCTATTATTGGCCACGTTTTTCAGAGATTAATGACCAGAAGGATTAGCAGACTAAATGATTTGTTTGTGAAGATGTTCTAAAAGATTCCTAGCAGAAGCAGAATTTGAACTAATTTTTTTTTTGTTTACATTTTTGTTTTAATCACTATTCTATACCAAGTAAGGTCTTTATTTTCTATAAGGTGAATTCTTGGATCGTCTATAATCCATGCATTTTAGAAATATTTTCTTACCTCATTTGAGTGATTTAGTTTAAATAGAACGTCTCTTTATAGTCCGCTAAATTTTATTTGGATGCATGCAATAGGTATGGAGAAGGGGAGATTCAGGAGAAAGTGGCCACTTTTCGGATGATGCTTCTAGAAAAAGATGTGGCACTTGTCAAAGAGGGGGAACAGCAGCAGAAGTCTAGGTAAGTAAGGCATTTGTGGATTTTGTGTTGTTTTGTCATGACAGCTTCTTTTCGTCTTAAGAAAAAAAATTACGTTTCAATCTGTATATTGATAGGATCCTTGTATTGTGATATATTTGTTCTATTAACTATTTCTTTTTCTCCAGTATTACAGAGACCCATCAGCTGGCTGAGGCCAATGAAAAGAAGAATGAGAGACTGCGAGCTGCTTTTGGGATCAGTGATAGTTATGTGGATGGCAGCTCTTTTGACCCCAATCGCAGGGCCAAGGAGGCGGCAACAGCTGCAGTGGCTAAACAACAGCAGGAGCAGCAGAAGCAGTACAGGTATAAAGAATCCCTACTGGAAGAAAATAAACAAGAGATGACAAGGTAGCTCTGATTACGTCTGCTGCACTAAAAAAAAACCAAGAGTGAGCTTTTCAATTGTATTAGGAGACTTTAAAAAGACAACTGCAAATAAAGTACCTGAAATATTAAACAAGCATTGCACATAGGTAGTAAGATTACATCTTAATGAAACCTCTATAATTTATGAGATAGTTCATGATTGATTTCCATTCTTGACTAGAATTTCTGCATAATTGATTTCATTGTACCTGTGAGAAATTTTATTTTTTGTAAGAAAAAATACTGAAAGATAGGATTGATAATAGGCCGATGCTTATGTAGTATGTTGTGAATTGAATTCTAGAATTTTGTTTATTGTTTGGACTTTGTCTTCTCAGTCTTATCAAAGATTCCAGCAGTTCTAGGTCACCATCACCAAAACAAAAGAAGAAGAAAAAGAAGAAGGACAGAGACAGGTGGGTGGGTGAGGCCAAGACACTTAAATTCTTTTTTCAGACTCATTGGATTCAGAAGAGGGGTAGGATTTAGATTTGGAAGTAAGAAAAGAAACTTTTATATTTTAAAAGTTTCTCAGAAAATGTATCTTGCCCTTTTGGCTTTTCAAGGTCTGAGAGCAGATCACCTTCTCGAAGAGAAAGGAAAAAAAGCTCAAAGAAAAAGAAACACAGGTAAGGGGATTGTAAAGAGGTAATAGTGACTGGCCTCTAGTGTGAGGATTGGATTTTAGGGACTGTGATGATATTTACTAAGTCTTTTGTAGTGCTATCTTCAAAAATATATATTTTTGTATTTTAAGAAAGCGTCAATTTCCCCCCCTCTATAGTAAAAAGTTTTTGTATAAAAATTAGGGGCATACTATCTGATAGGCTTGCATTTCTCACTCTGTACGCTGCATTTACTTTTCCAGAATCTGCTTAAAACCATTTTCGATGGGATTCATGGGCAGAATTCACATTTGTAATCCAGCATCAATTTTGAACATCAGCCTTGCCTTGCTAAAGTTATTGGGCATTACAACAGTTTTCTGGTAACTTGGGAATAAAGTCTAATATTGGAACAGGAAATCTGGTACATTTTTAATGACCTGAACACAAATTATATAATTCGTGTTCATTAGACACACTGGCTGCAACTGATGGAAATTATAATTAAAAACATCTGCAACATCAGATTGCCAAATCCTACTCTTTTTTTATTCTAGATCAGAATCAAAGAAAAGGAAACATAGGTGAGTCTTAATAACCATTAGCCATTTAAAAAATGTTTGGATGTAGAAGGTAGTGGTTCTTTCTGTTTGTTCTCAGAATCACCTAAGCTGCGATGAATTAAATTCAATAATTTGAATTTATAGGGCTCCACGGGTCTGGTTTCCAAAGGTGCCTTAGAATGTGTGAGAGTTGCAAGTGTAGCACTTGTTTTCAACATCTTAAAGCAGTGGTGTCTTTTCATGGGATTCTGATTCTAGGGAAAAGAGGCTGCTTTAAGATTTTGTACACAGCAGCTGGGTGATCCCATGTTTTCAAAAGCTGTGTATCTACATCTAAACTTTACATTTGTTTTGTGACTCTGAATTTGGAGTTGGTATGTTAGGGATAGTTATTATTGGATATTGCTAGAATAGATGTTCTGTGAAGGATATGAAAGTAACAGGGAGAAACAGTCACTGCATATGTCACTGTTCAAGAATGATTCAAAACAAACTTTCCCCCCCCAGATCTCCAAGCCCCAAAAGCAAACACAAATCCAAGGAAAAGAAACGGAAGAGGTAAAAAAAATCACCTACCTGTGCTGTGCAACTAAAATTGATCTTTTTTTGCATGCAACTGATTCTCATTTTTAATTCTCAGGTCCACCAGTGAGTGTGCATCTCAGAAAGACTGTCGGGATCGCTCTTCCTCCCCAGATGGCTCTTCCTCATCAGATGCTTCCCATAGCAGGTAAAATTTGGCGAATCAAGCTTTCTGTCTTGTAAATAGTTATTAAACTTGGGCAGAGTCTTGTGGATTAACCTTCTAATCATTTATTTACAGATCAGGCAGCCCCATTGTTCAAAAAAGGAGCTTCCTTAGACAGCAGAGCAAGTCTCCTTTATCAAGTTCACGAAAACAAGAAACAGAAGTGGTTTCTAAGAATTTGGGAGAGAAAGAGCGTTCATCTTCTGCTGAGCCTGCCCGGCGAGGCAGGAGCACAAGTCCTCGAGAAAGCAGAGAAAAGCGGGAGGTAAAGAATAATATATGCATTCCGAAAGTGAGAAACATTACATAAATAAAGTCACTTGGGACAAAATGACTTAGGAATACTGATTGGTTCATTAAAATTGGAGAGGAGAAATGGTGGATTCTAAGTTCTTTTAATATATTAAAGCAGTGTTTTCCTGAAACTTAAAATTAATTATAGTTTGTTGAATAGTGTGTCCAACATTTTGTGACGTGGACATCAACCCTAAGAATTTTCCATTGAATATGCCATTGCTAAGGATTCTGGGAGTTGAAGTCCACACAAAACCACCCAGGTTGGGAAATGCTGTGGTAAAATGATAGCTAATTAATGAGTTGCTTAGAGTTAAGAACCCTAGTGATCTTTTCATTTTCAAAATGCTTGCAATATGGTTGGGAGCTGGCTGCTGATTCTTTTTGTTTTTTTTTCAAAGGATAGTTCTAGTTACTGCTTTTTATATTCCTGTTTAGAAAATATCCAAGCATTCTCCAGTATGTGAGACCCTTCAGCATTCTCCAAGTCCATCATCTCCTGTCAAAGAGAAAGAAAGAGATAAGGACAGAAAGTCTGCTCGGCACGGGGGGCGAAAATCCACCCCTTCAGTTGAGCATGATCCAAAGGGCATGCATCATTCTCCTGTGCTGAATGAACTTTCTCGAGAAAAACGTCTCCCTTCTAAAGAGAAGAGGTCTCCTTCCTGTTCCTCTCCATCTACTAAGAAGCAGTCAGAAGATCGTAATGGGAATCTTCCACCATCCAAGGATAAGGTTTCTCCTGATAGCAAGGAGGAGCTTACAGCTTCCTCATCTGCTTCTAAGACTGTTGAGACTAAGTTGAAGAAGATGTCGCGTGAGGACTCTACACCTCAGCGCTCATGTTCTCCTTCAGAGAGTGGTAGTTGCTCCTCCTCTTCCTCCTCTTCTCCTTCCCCACCAACTAAGCCTGGTCCAGTTTCTCGCAACTGTTCTCCAGAGGTCCCTCCCAAAAGACAAGAGAAGGAGAAAGCATCTATTCAGAGAGAGAAATCTAGCTCATCCCCTGAAATCTCTCGTTCTGACCAAAAGCAGTCTTCTAAGACATCTCTACGTGAACCATCCAGCACCCCACCAGCTAAAGGCTCCAAATCAAGAGCCAGTCGGAGGGACAAATCTCTCTCTCAAACACCCACTACTCATAGAGGTAGATCTTGGTCCCGGACCCCACCTAAGAGAGGTAGATCACGCACACGTACCCCACCAAGGAGGGGTAGGTCTCGTTCTCAGAGACGTGCTCGATCCCGTTCACGTACTCCTTTGCGAAGGGGACATTCTCGAACTCCCCAGTGGCGAGGCCGTTCGAGAACACCTCAACGATGGGGTAGATCACGTTCACGTACACCTCCCAGATGGGGTCGATCCCGTACACCTCAAAGGCGTGGTTGGTCTCGTTCTAGAACACCTCAAAGGCATGGATGGTCGAGAAGCAGAAATAGTGGAAGATGGGGCAGGTCACGAACACCGCCAAGAAGAGGGAGGTCACGTTCAAGAACACCAAGAAGAGGCAGGTCTAGATCAAGAAGTCCCCCCAGGCGAGCAAGATCCCGCTCCAGAACACAACCGAGAAGAGGCAGATCAAGAACTAGGACGCCTCCCAGGAGAGGAAGGTCAAGTTCGTCTCCAAGAAGAGAAAAATCCTTGATTTCAGCCAGACGAAGCAGATCTGTGTCATCTCCAGATCGGAAAGTATCCAGAATTTCTTCTAGGAGAAGTCGATCTGAATCATCTTCAAGAATGAGGGAAAGATCTAGAAAAGTGCTAAGACGTAGTCTTTCTGCGTCCTCTCCTGAATCAAGAAGGTTAAGACCATCTCCCAGACGTAGTCGTTCTGGATCACTTCCAAAAGCTAAAAAGAAAACTCGGTTGTCTCCAAGGAGGAGTCGTTCAGGTTCTTCTCCAAGGTCAAGGAAGAAAAGATCAAGAACACCTCCAAGGCGCAGTCATTCTTGTTCTCCAAGAGTAAAAAAGAAATCAAGATTAAGCATCAGACGAAGTAGATCCAGCTCTTCTCGAACACGAAAAAAGAAATCTCGATCACCTAAGCGTAGCCAATCCAGGTCACCTCCACCCCTCAAAAACAAAACCAGAATGTCCCCTCTGAGCAGTTCTGGTTCATCGCCAAGGCTTACAAGGAAATCTGATGTTTCCTCAGTAGCTGAAGAAAAAGCTAAAAGCACTTCAAAAAGAAGTCAATCTAGTTCCTCTCCAGCACTGCGGAAGAAATCAAAGTCTCCTTCAAGACATAGTATATCTGGGTCCTCTCCAGAACCAGAGATGAGATTACCAAGAAGGCGAAACAGATCTGAGTCTTCTCCAGAAGTGAAAACAAAGCCAAGGGCAGGATCATCCCCAATGCTGAAAAAGGAAATGGGATCATCTCCAAGACAAAGTCGGTCTAGTTCTAGTCAGTCATCAGCAAAGGAAAACTCCTTATCGCCAATACAGCGAGCAGCTTCTCCAGAATCAAAGTCTGCATCTCCACTGCAGCAAAGCAGATCTGGAAGGTCTGTAGGAACAAAAGAAAAACCTAGATCACCGCACCGAAGACAGAGCAGGTCTAGATCACCTCCGGCTTTGAGAGAGACATCTCTTTCTCCCCTAAGACCAATTGCATCTGGATCTTCATTAGAAATTAAGAAGAAATCTTCACCACTGGATAAATGCAAAAATGAATCCTTGGAGTTAAAGAAGATTAGGTCATCTCCAAGGCAAAGCACATCTGGCTCTTCTCCAATGACCAAAGAGCAGTCAAGATCACCTCCCAGGACCAAGTCAAGATACTCTCCTGAGATGACAAAATCTTCACCTTTGAAGCAAGTCCGATGTGGACTGTCCCCTCAGGCAGTGAAAGAAAAATCTCCCTCCAGGAGAAGTGAATCCAGATCATCTCCTGAAGTAAATGGCAAATCTAAAACTCCTCCAAAGCAAAATAAATTCCAAGAAGTGAAAACAAAATCTGGATCTTCTCCAGGGCACAACAAATCCAGTTCCATGACAGAAATGGAAAGTGCTTCACTTCCATGCCAAAAGAGTAAATCAGGTTCATCTCTCTCTGGAAAAGAAAAAATGCAATCTTCCTCAAGACAAATGCCATCTGAGTCATCACCAGTACTTAAAAAAATAGATATTCCATCAAGGCGGAGTAGATCTGGATCTTCCTCTTCCTCTTCTTCTTCCTCCTCCTCCTCCTCTTCCTCCTCCTCTTCCTCTTCTTCCTCCTCTTCCTCCTCCTCTACTTCTTCATCAACATCTCCAGAAGATGATAAATCTCAGTCACCTCCCAGACTTAGTCGCTCTGCGGGATTGTCGGTCAACATGAATAAATCCATTTCATCCCCAACACAAGGCAAAGCATATTCTTCTCCAGAACCAGAGAACAGCACATTTGTAACTGTTACGAAGCACAATAGACCTGGATCTTCTCCAGAAACTTCTAAAGTGTCAGTGATGGGGCCCAGATTACCCTTAGAGAAGAAAGGGGCATTTAAAGAGGCATCCCGAAGAAGTAGATCAGGTTCTTATACTGGGATTAAAGAGAAGCCAAAAATGCACTCTAGTGAGAGCAGTTCAGATTCTTCCCCAGAATGGAAAGAAAAATCTGAGAGCAGATCTGTGTCACCACCCAGACCAAGAATAAAATCAAAAACACCTCCAAGACGTAGAATATCCAGGTCACCACCTAGATCTAGACCAAAATCCAAAAGTCCTCCAAAGTTTGGCAGGTCAGGGTCTCCACCAAGACCTAAGTTGAAGTCCAGAACACCTCCAAGACGACGTAGGTCTGGCTCATCTCCTAGACCCAGAATAAAGTCTAGAACACCTCCCAGACGACGTAGATCTGGGTCATCCCCAAGGTCCCAAATAAAATCCAGAACACCAGTTCGACATCACTACAGAGCTGGATCATCTCCAAGACCTAGAAGGAAATCTAAAACCCCTCCACGACGACGTAGATCTGGATCACGGGCAAGAGAAAAATCTAAAACACCAGTTACAAGAAGACGGAGATCTGTATCACCAGTGAGTCCTAGACGCAAATCTCGAACACCTCCAAGACGTGGACGGTCCAGATCACTCTCCAGAGAAAAATCAAGCACCAGCACACATCCACATTGGTCTGAGTCATCATCCTATGGTGACAGACCCAGAACTTCTTTGCGACAAGAAAGATCTGGCTCTCCCTCCTGGAGGAGTTGCTCCCGTTCACTCTCCAGGCGGCGAGATAAATCTCGGGGTTCATTGCGGAGGGAACGGTCAACTTCTTCTCCAGCTAGAAGCTGCTCAAGATCCTCTTCTTGTCAGGAGAAATCTAAACTACCACACAGAGGTCATTCCCAATCGCCAGTACAGATGTTGCAATTATCCCCTGCAACAAGTCGGAATGCATCCCGTTCACCTCCCAGATTAGATGCATCACGTGTAACAGCATCATATAAAGGCATTGGGTCCAGAGTATCCCCTGATTGTCAGTTTTCTCCTATGAGGAAGCATTCCAGATCAGGCTCCCAGGAAGCCTGCACATCTCCAGGAAGAAAGTCTCGCTCTCCTCCTGTTCTAGAGAGATATCCCAAGTCTGACCTCCAAGAAAAGCCAGCAAGCTCCTCTCTTTGGCACAGCAAAAACAACATTGCTATTCCTTGTGCTTTAACTCCACCTTGTGAGGAATCTCCTAAATTGCAAAAGGCCCTCTCTCCTGATCCATCCATGCTACATGACTTAGCTCCAGTGTCAAAGAATGGTGACTCCAAAGCCATCCGAAACAGCCAAGGAGATAGGAATCAGAGCATGCACCAAGCTATAATTAAAGATGATGCAGGGATTGGTGCACCTTTATCGGGGAGAAGTAGTTCTCATGCAGGCTCTGTCTCTCCTGTAAAAGCTAAATTGTCATCCCGCTCCTCTTCCTCCTCTTCCTCCTCTTCCTCTTCTGCTTCCTCCTCCTCTTCTGCTTCTTCAAGCCCCTTACCAGCATTGATTTCTGTCCTAGTCCCATCCCCCAAAGAAGAGGAGATTGTATCTGAAGGAAAAGTAGCAGATAGATCTGAGGTGCACTTACCTACCCTTGAGGCTGAGTCGCAGTTGGCTTCTGTCCCCATGGAGGATGACACCAGGAGTAGCTGTCCCACAGTCCTACAACTTGCTCTTCCCTCTCCTCCACCTTCTGCCCCTTTGAAGGCAAAGAGAAGTTCATCTGCTTCATCTACCAGTTCATCATCATCTTCGTCTTCCTCCTCATCCTCATCTTCTTCGACTTCTGATTCCGAGTCCAGCTCATCTGAGTCCAGTCCCCATGATCAGGCAGCGAAGGATCTTGAGGCTGAGATTGAACTGAAACAGTAAGAACCTTTCTTCTTAGTAATCCTTTTTTTCCATGTCTTTTATGCTGTTTGCAGTCACTGTCAAGTAATATCCAACATCCAGTTTATTCTTGGTCAGTTACAATGTATGTGCACATTCACTTATATTATTCATGTCCTTATCTTATATCCCTTCTAATCCCAGTCTCTGGAATGACATCTCTGCCATAAAAAAGATGTTACCCATAGTCCATAAGAATTGTCTCAGATATTCTGTACAAATATATAAAATAGAGGCATTGTATAACACAGCCAATGATGTTTTTGTTTTTAGTATTGCTAAATTTAAATTCTGAAGTTTTGATTGAACTCTTGCATCAATTGAATTCTAATCTAGCCTCCTTTATAAGCAAACATCAGCTCTATTTTTATGCTTGGTTGTGATAATGGGGAAAACAAGCTCTCTTCCTCTGAAGTGAAATCAAATGAGCTCAAGGGGCAACAAAGTCTTACTTGATTCTAAGACAATTTCTGGTGATAGATGATTTCAGAGAACAGGAGCCAGATGAGGAAAGGATCTCTGTTGCAACATGTCCATTCTGGTATGAGGGATAGCCACTTGAGTTCAGTAGTTGGGTCAACTGTATGGGCACTGGCAGGTTTTGGATGTGCCCATGTACAGAGTTGTCACTGTGTACACTTTCCAGCATCTGTATTTTCCTCTGTTCTCATATAATAGTGCCAATTGAAACGTACGTTTTCACTCATCTCTTCATAGGTTTGGGTTTTTTCTTAAATTTCTGTAGCTACCCAAATCAACCAAGTGACTCTTCAGTATGTAGACCTGATATTGTACACCCTTCAGAAATGCTTCTTCATTAGTCATGCTTTTGAAAGATTGTAATGATGGCCTTTATCCACCAGAGGTCGGGTTTGCTGATGTTAGTGGGTGCTACTAATAGACACTTGTATTATATTCTTATGGAATCTAATTTTGCTCTAGGTCTAGGTTTTAGAGTTTGTACTGCATCAGGATATGCTTGCAAAAATGGTTGATAATATGTATTTTACAGAATTTAAATGCAGTATTTGCTTATGTAACTTTTATAGTTCTGCTTTCAAGATATTAGTGTGGAGAACTAGGTGTTTTTTTTTGAAGACTTGGAATAGCAGAACAAGGAAATGACTGTAGAAAATTAATGGGATAGCAAGAGATTGCTTGATAGAACCTGTAATTAAAACATTGTTCCATTTTGAGTCTTTGGCTGTTTGGGAAGCTATTTGTTTGCAAGAGTAGCCTAAATCTTCAACTCAAGATATTTGTATTCTGGATCTGTTAATGCAAGTGACTCATCTCTGCTTCCTAGGAGATGAGTCTCTGTGAAGTAGCAGTAGCCTTTGTCAGTGGAAAACCTAAGCTGTTCAGTTCCCAGCATGATAGATTCTTTTAATTTAAAAAAAAGGAAAGTAGTGTGTTGCAAAATGTTATCAGTTTCGATTTTACTTTATTTCCAGTAATGTTTCTAGACTTTTCATAAACTTCAGGAGCATGTCTGGAAGGAAGCTGCCGTAGGGGGCTTAGTTTGAAGTACCTATATATGTAAGGGGAAAAAAAATAAGAAAAAAATAAAGATGGAGGGTTAGTAGGTTAGTATTGTAAGAAGTAACAATGTCAGTTTTCTTTGTGGCATTTTCGGGCTGCTTATTCCAACCAAGGCTGTCATTTTGTGATGCATGAGCTCCCCTATTATAAATATTTTTTGACTGATAAAAGGCTGAATATGCTGCTAAGAACAAATTTAAAAATTCTCAAATCAGCTGTTTCCCTAGACTTTTCCCATAAACAACATGAATTGGAGTTTGTCTGTCCATTCAGAAATGTGAGTTTCTTCAGTTAACCTGCCTGAACCTTCTTTCATCTGTTGCAGCCATCCAGTCTTTAACTATACCCTCTTCCCTTTACTTTTCTCGTAAAGGCCACCATGCCCAGTGCTGAAAGAGTCTAAAAGTGATGAGCAACCTGTAAAAACGGGCAAACGCAAGTGCCGTTCTCAAAGCTCAAGCAGTTCAAGCAGCAGCTCTTCCTCTTCTTCATCCTCCTCTTCTTCAGCTTCTTCCTCTTCCTCCTCTTCATCATCTTCATCATCTTCCTCCTCAACGCCATTGCCTAAAACAGGACTCCAGGCAGTGATGAAGGGCCCTCCGAAGAAGAAACCCTCTCCAGAGAAGAGAAAGTAAGTATTCTGCTAATTACTGCTAATTAAGAGGTATACTTTGAACCTGAGAATCAGTGTTCTATTCTTTATTGGCAATGTTTTTGAAGTGTGGAGGTGAACCAGCTTTTCCCTTCCCTTCCCTGGCTTGGCATCCTAAGAGGATACTTTGTCCTGTTTGCTGAATGTTTAGAATGGCTTCTGGCATTACACGCCTAGTGCAAATGTCACGAGATCTTGGGGAAATAGTCCAAGGAGACTGCCAGATGCTAAAAGAGCTGTGGAAGATTTGTGGCACTACCTTTTTTGTGTAGATGTGTATCAGTTATAATAGGACTGCACATGGTAAGCTGTACCTAAAAGTACTTGAAAAATATTGCAAAATATGACTTTAAAAATATTTGTTAAGAACTTTGTGGCTTATAAGTGATGGTATTTTCATTGCAGTATCTTGTTTTGCCATGTTCTCCTATGGACACAGAGTAAATTCTGGCTACTGTATTTGATGGTCCTGTTTCTTTTAGAGTAGTATTCACAATATTTTTATTATTTTTTTAAAATGTAAAATACAAATAAAGACAATGGAAAAAAGGGAAGGAAAAGGGAAAGATGGATAAAATGAGGAAAGAAAGAAAAAAGAAAGAAAGAAATAAAAAACAGTGATTTCCAGCTTCTTTTATTGCAGTGAAGTACATAATACAGTTATATCAACTTTTTACTGTTTCTATTATCATGATCTACTTGATTGTCAAAACCTAAAATGAAACTTTTATTTTCTCTTTTGAGTATAAAATCCAAAAAAGGTTTCCTGGTGGACACAAATTATTTACATTCTTTCCCCCAATTAATGCAATTACATTTGCTATCTCTGTTAATCCTTCATCTTTTCAATCCATTCCTCCATTTAGTGTCTCTTTCCATTTTTGACCATTATTTTCTAACCATTGGCTCTTTCTATCGCTAGGTCACGCAGCCCTAGAAAACCAATTGATTCATTGAGAGATTCGCGCTCTCTGAGCTACTCCCCAGCAGAACGGCGTCAGATTTCCCCTCCTCCTGCCCAACCCCCCTCTGCTCCAAGGGATCGACGTAGGTAAGTCTCTTCAGCAAGTCTTACTTCCCTTGGCTGAGAAATTGTTTAGGAATTATTTCCATAATGCATTTAACATGGAATCCAAGTCAGTTTCATACCCTTATTCTCTATCTAGAGACAGGTCTAGGGATAGGTCCCTGCAGAGAAACAGACAAAGCATCAGCAGGTCTCCAGGACGAAAACGGCGACGCAAATCTCCGAGTCCCCGAGCTCCTCGTCGCAGAACTTCAAGGTAATGAGCATGACTTGCTAGTTTTAGAAATGCCTAACAATTGTTAAAGGTCCTATTAAATGTAATGATTCGACTGACTTGACTGAACTTATTCTGGTTTTGTTAATTTCTGGCACTATGTTCCTACTCATTTCTGAAGATATGGTGAAATTGTGCTAGTGTCTTTAATTCTAAAATCTCCAGCTTGAAGTTTGTGAATTATTCTTATTTACATTGAGCTGTAAATAAACTGCTTGCTTCAAATAATCTGCCAGAGTACCAATATCATCTTTATTTCCATGAGCATTATTTGTTTAGTGGGCCTGTCTGAAAAAGACAAAGCTAAGCTGAGATAATAATGGTAGGGAATGTCCTGGCTAGACTGGAGGTCAAAGAGGATTATCCTTGCTAATTTGTCTTCTGGTAAATGGATAATTTGTGACTATATCCACTATGTTTCTTATCCACTTGCTCATGAAATTTAAGCTCACTTGTCAACTGAAAACAGCTGGGGACTCTGTTAATCTCAAAGTGTGCTGTCCCGTTCTCGCAGACAAACAACTGGTTTAGTGGGTTTATGAATATTCCCCCGCAACTGCCTTCACCAAAAACCCAGAACTGTTCCAATTAAGTCCAGCCACAAGCAAACCAATGTTAATCCACAGAGCAATGATCAACAAGTCCACAAGGCATTTGAAAGATTCCCAATCAAAATAAACCCACCAGACAAAATTAAACCCACAATACAAGAAGGTTCACGAGGCAATTGAAAAGTCCAGAGTTCACAAGGTACAATCCAAGTTAAGGCATCAATCCAAAGTGAGGCAAGAATCATGACCAGCAGAAAACACACAGCTAGTAAATGAACACGTTCCTAACATTGCTTCCATCTGTTGTGCTAAATAACCAGCTTCTGGTGCAGCCCATCAAGAAGGGCAAGGCTTTCTCCTCACGAGTAAACTCTCTGACCACCTCTGCTCCTGCCTTTTCTCTGCCCTACATGTTCTTGGATGAGGGTATAGAAGCCAGTTCCTCTTCCTCATCACTGACTGACTGGCAGCAGCTGCATGTTTTCTCCACCTGAAGCTTCAGGACTGCCCTGGCACAGCTGTACTTGAGCCAAGTCCCTCTTAGACGAATGCTTGGAGCCATCAACCAGACGTGCCTGGAAGTGGTTCATCTTCCTCTGAGCTGATAGCTGGGAAAGCATCTGGAAGAGTATCACTCATAGTAGAGTCCTTAGGCTGAACACATCCCATTTTCAGAAAATGCTCTGCTTCATTTTCTGATTGATTTGAAGTGTGAGATTCAGAGAGCTATAGATGAAGCACTTATTGTTTTGTTCTCTTGAAACTTATCAGAGCTGACTTCTTAAGTTCTGTAAGACTTGACCACTCTTCTTCTTTACTTAAACTACTTATTCTGTATTCTTTAGCCTGAAAAGCTCCCATAATAAGCCCCACTCAAAATACACACACAGAGAAAAGGGGATGAGAAGCAAAAATGAGGTGACAATTTATATGTAATATTTTATGGTTCCTAGAATAGTCTGGTGTGATGAAAATGAATTATTCATTCTCAATGATGCCTTTTCTCTTTACAGAAAAGAACAAATACAGGTAGTCCTCGACTTACAACAATTTCTTAAGTCACTGTTTGAAATTATAACAGCGTTGAAAAAAGTGACTTTGTGACCATTTTTCACATTTATGACCATTGCAGCATCCCTATATGGTCATATGATTTACATTTGGATGCTTGACAACTGGTTTATATTTATGACAGTTGCAGTGTCTCGGGGTCATGTGATCCCCTTTTGCAACCTTCTGATTAGCAAAGTCAATTGGGAAGCTGGATTCACTTAATTACCATGTGACTAACTTAACAACTGCAGTGATTCACTTAGCAGCTGTGGCAAGAAAAGTCTTAAAAGGGGGCAAATTCACTTAACAAATTTCTCACTTGGCACTATAAATTTTGGGCTCAACTGTGGTTGTAAGTCAAAGATTGCTTGTATTCCTGATTATTTCCAAAGGTAGTTGATCTGAAGGCTCTTTGTAAAGAGGGTATCCAAACCCCAGCAGTGGCAGTAATGGGTAAAAGTGGTAGTTTCTGGTGTTTGTTGCCACTTCAGTAATATTGGTTATCTTTTCTCAACTTGGAGGAGTAAAAGAGAAGACTTGCCTTTTACATACTGTTAGGGACATTTGCTATAACTTATTTCTAAGTAAAAATGGCTTTTCTATGTTCTCTGTGTGTGGATTTTAGTATATGGAAGTGTATTAATCTGTTTTCATGCTTAGTACATTGGAAATACATTGGGCTCTTAAAATTGTTTAAGTGGTGTTATACATTTCAATATATAAACTTTTCCCCTCCTAATTTTCTTTTTTCTCCTCAGTCATGATCTTTGTACCAGTAGTATTTCAGTGATCATGTTTCCTTAATACAATGTACTTTAAAATATTTGTATATAGTTATACTGTTCACCTAAGAGATTAGTTGACAAGAGGTTGCCAACTTACATTTTGCATTACTTAATTTCCCCCCCCCTCCTTTTTCTCCCCAAGGTCCCCATAAGCCTTTTGGAGAGCGGAAAGTCCTTGTCCTCGCAACCACAAACTGCGCCACCCCCAGCCTCCAGTGCTGTTCCAGGTGGGAGCCCCCCACCTCCTGATGTCCACTGGAAACCAGTGTGTTTGCATGGGGGGGGGGGAGTGGAGGTTTATTCATTTGCCATCACCTTTATATTCGCATTAGTTTTTTTCTTTTACTGTCCCTATCTTTATTGCCCGTCATTTGTCGGCAGCTACATTCCCCTTGTCCCTGGACATTTCTGCTCAACACCCACCAGGATCCACAGCCTCTATGCTCCTCTTCCTCTTCTCCCAACAGTTGGTGATGTTCATTTGATTTTTTTCCCCTCTCCTGTAAGCATTTTTTCCCCTGTGCGTTTTGCAGCTAAAATCTTCTGTGTTTTGAGAGCTGTCTCTTTTTTTGTTGATTTAGACTTAAAAGGTTTTTAAACAAACCACACAATGGGTGGGTGGGAAGTAGAGGGATATGTGATCTAATCTGTTCGATTTAGTGTTTCTCAGACCCCCCCCCCCCCCGGAAATGGTGGAGGGTTGTAATAAAAAGTTGGAGCGCATGTTACCAACCCAGAATTAGATGGAAGGCAGTGCTATTTAGTTGCTACTTCGTTTCCCACTGTTTCTATCAAGATTCCCTGATGAAAAACAGGCAGTTTCTTTCTGTAGCCTGCAACAGTGGAGCTGATTCTTGGTGGTGGTAAAATTGAGGGTTAAACTATTCCTGCTCCTCCCCCCCCTCCCCCCCCGAACAAAATAAATTTAATATGCAGTGCTCTTTTTCCTTTTTATTCTTCCCTCAAAGGATATTCTTTCATATTGATCAGCTGAGCCAGGTCGTGAGGGGTTAAGTTTGGAACTGGAACAGGGGCATTCAGGCATTTTAGGGGGAAGATGACTGAAATTTTGCTGAGAAGAAGCTGAGAAACCCTAAATCAGGGAGGGTGGGAACAGAAGTTTCTTCATATTTCTTAAAAGCATTTAATTTTTTTTTGATATGTACAGCAAGGAGATTTTTTCTGTCAAATAAACTTACGAAATGCAAAATTTGTTGTTGAGTCATTCAGAATTTTCTCTTAAGCCTGGTCAAAGGAGATCTTCAATTAAATACGTAGGTTTTTCAACATTACTGTTGCTTCTTCCTCTATTTAGTGCTTTTGGTTTGAAGGATAAACGAATGGCTAGAATAAAAGTACTCAAATCTATTTAGAACACATGCATGCACACGTTTCTCCATTCAATCTGCTGAAGATTGTTGTTTCCCCTGTCCAGTCACGGTCCAACTCCAGGGGGCAGTGTTCATTTTCATTTCCTAGCCAGTGTTGCCCGAAGACATTTATATGGTCGTGTCCAGCATGACTGTCGAAGCACATGGAAGTCTGCAACCTTCCCAACGAAGTACTTATTTATCTACCATACATTTTCATGCTTTTGAACTACTAGGTGAGGTAGGAGCTGCAGCAAGTAATGGGAGCTCACCCCATCATGCGTCACTCAGGTCTTGAACCTGGGCTGTCAGCTTTCCACCTGACAAGCTCAGCATTATTATTGAGCCACTGGTTAAAACAAATTCAAAAGCAACCTTAGTAACCCAAAAGTTCTTAAACCTAAACTTTTTGTGTTCATTTTGTTTGGGCAGAGTTAATAATAATGTCCAAACTACTTACTTCCCTTTCAAATAGAAATAAGTTTTCAAGCAGACTCTGCAATATACCTTATTTACACCTATGCTAGGTGATTAGACATGCATAGAAATCTTATTTTCTTTTAAAAATCACTGATTTTTTGCACATTTGAAACATTGCATTTGAGAACAAATTCAGATTTGAAGAAATAAGATTCTCTCTTCCAAGAATAAAAGGAATAAAGGAATGGCTATAATTCCTCTAGCTTTTAATGACACCGATGTTTTGTCCGTTGTCTGTTCTCTCTCAGTTTAAACACAACTTCCTGTCAGTTGTGTATCTTCCTTGCAGCTGTCTGCTGTTAGCTTTTGGTTACTTTTCTACATAGGGCTCTGTTAAAGCCATCCTGGTTTGTCTTTTGCTCATTTCAATCTTCTAACTGAAGTATAAGTAAATATTCTAGGATTTTTCTATGAATTAGTATTCTGGATGGGGAAGAGAGGAAGAAACCTAGATATTAATTGATCTTATCCATCATGTCTACTAATACATGTTAAAGCCTACTCTTGCCAATATTGTTCGTTTTTGCTGTTGCTTAATAAAGGAAGATGCATCCCATGCCAGAATAGTATACAAATGGTGAACCTCATTTTTTCATTCTCTTCCCATCATGTCGTATCACAAACTGATACAAAACTCTTGCCATAGAATTTCATATTTTATTGTTTGATATGTCTGAGCCCAAAGTCATCTTAGATGCATGGAGTTAATTGTGTCATTACTAAGAGAGGAAAAATTACACTGCAACATAATAAAAATTACATATTTTGACTGATCATTGTCATGCCATGCACCACCTTTTTTCTCTGCCATTCTGTTTCTGTTGCTAGCCTTACATATGTGGTAGGTGTTAGTGGAATTCAAAAGTCTATTTCTCAGCATGAAAAATAAACCATCCTGAAATTATATGGAACTATATAACCCCAGTAAATAAAACAGCAGTTCTCTATCTGGCATGAGTATTTACTAGCTATGCAACTTTAGAAAACAATGTGTTAATATATTTAGGCAAATTTATTGGATGAATGCAATAAATTAATTGCATTTTTATACATGTTTCCTGTTCAGCAAAATTATTGAAACACATTAGCCAGGAATTGATAATCTTTTTGTCCTTGAGGCTAGCATAGGCAATAAATGGCAACGTGTGATATGTCACTAAATATTCAAGAAGCTCAAGGTCAATTTGGAGAGCTTCAGAGATGGCATCGGTAGGGTTGTCCTATCACAGCTAAACCTTTTCATATTTTTTTTGTGGGTGTTAAAAGTAAGAACAGGAATGAGAGATCGTCGTGGAACACATGCCATTTGTACTCTTAACCCTGTAAAAAAGTCTTAAGTTTATGGATGATTTAGGCCTATTTTAAGGACTTTAAAACAAACCACTTTGATTCCCATTTGTAAACTGAAGAGGAAAAACAGATCTGGAAACATTGTTTATGTGAAAGTGTAGTGGTTAAAGGTAGCATTCAGAACAGGAACCACTTAGAAGCTTCTTGTTCCATTTCCAACCCTTTATTTTAAATAAAAAAAGTTACCTTACTAAAATGGAGTCATTCGATAGCTATATTTTGCTGGATGGGGACCATATACAGCCCATGGATTGCCTGTTACTCATGCCTGCTGTTTGTTTGTCCTTGGCAATAGATGGGGGATTTTAAGCCTCTTTCTAAATGCTGAGTCATGTACCTTCAAACTGGTAAGAAACTCATGTTTTTTATTTTAGGGAATAAGAAGACATCTCATGTTCTGAAAGCTCCTGAGAATCCAGTTTCCTTTTGTGTCCCTTTCTTTACCATAGTTGTAACAGTTCTTTGAAATACACAATATGACAAATAGTAATTAAGACACCAGAACCGGGTTGGTAGCCATGATGAGAAAGCTCATGAATCTTCATTTCAGTACTTTAACCCTTGAGAAAGATACATATCTGGAAGTGATGCCTGCACAGGATTTTCAGGTAAACTGAATTGCACTTTAATCTTCCCATGTGTGCTATGCAGACTTTAAAACAGATAAAGCTTGGGATGTATAAAAATAAACCAGGGCTGTAAATGTGGTAAAATGTACTTCCCCTTTTCATGTTACAAAAATAAAACAACTCTGTGCTTACCCTTTTCTCCACATCCTTAGTAAGTGCCGGTTCTTGAGGCAGGCAATGTTTCACATGAACTGTTTTTGCACTGTGTTAGATGTTCATATTTGCATGCATTCATATTGTTGGATGTGTGTGTGTGTGTATGAGTGTGTGTGTGCATGTCCTTTGATGCCTTATCTTGGACAAATCCCTGCAATTTTCTTGCCAACATTTTTAGAAAATAGTTTGCCATTGCCTTCTTCCGAAGGCTGAGAGAGACTGAATAGCCCAAGGTCATTCAGTTAGCTTTGTGGCTAAGCCAGTACTGAAGCACATGGTCTGTTTCTAGCCTGGTGCCTTTAACCCTTAGGCTTGCTTTAAATAACAATATTTGATTGATTAGATAAATTATTAATTATTAGAAGCAGAATAAGAAGCTAAATGTTGATCCACTAAAATATCTTGAGGTTTTTGTAAACAAGGTCCAGTTTAGGCCAATAGATTTTTTTAAATATTTTTTCTCCAATGGAACCTAATCCAACTAAATTTCTTTGTATCTAAGCAGCAAACTGGTTAATACAGAACTGAATTTGAAGCTTTAAAATGCCCGTTTGTTAACCCCTTAGCTTTTCCAAGTGTTGTGAATAAATTCAAGGTATATTTGTGTTAATATTTTATTTATTTTCATTACACTATTGGACATTAGATATTTCAGTATTAGGGAGCTCCTTCCCACATACATAGTTACTAGCTTATCCTATCATCATCACCATCATTCTTCACACTTCAGCCAACCTCTTCCCTAAGTGGCAAAGTTAATTTAGGTTTGGAGGGAACTATATAATGAGTTTCTAACTGTAATCAGCAGAAAAAATAAAACTTAATGAGTTTTGAATTTGGCTTTGCTCAACTAAAAATATTTTTGTTTGACTCTTCAAAATGTGAAATGTAGCTTAGGAGATAATATAATTGATGGAAGATGGGGGAAACAGCAAAATTGTATGAAGAAAAAGTACAAGCCAAATAACCACTTTATTAGCTTTCTCCTTTATTTTACTTAAATACAGAAACATGCAAAATTGTCCTAAATGCAGCATGGGGAATTTTGAGTCCAAATGCTGGGAAAGAGGGATGAATATAATGCCAGTACATCAAAAGGAATCTGTACTTAAATAAAACATTGTGCAATACAATCTGTTGACAATCCAACAATACTTACACGTTATGCTGCTGCTTGTTTTCCATTCTTGTTTGTGTTGTCCCTTGTTGCCTCCGTTGCTCACAGTACACTCATCCATAAAGTAGGAAACACTACACTTGGACACAAGCGTTTAGTAGTGCTTTCTACTTTATGGATGAGTCCACTGTCCATAAAATGTAGCTTTGGTCTGTGACTGGCTTTCACTGTTGTCTTCATCCAGGACCACCTTCTGAGCTGTTCTCCTCCTAAATCTCCCCTACCCCACCTGCTGTCAGCTCCCTGGCTGCTAATAAAACAGGGAGACACTAGCAGGAGGAGAGGTTTGACAGTCTGTTTTGTGGGCTTAGGGTGAGACAGCATTTTTACTAGTATTAAAAGTACTCTTACTACCCAGATACATTCACAGCCTACATAAGGTTTCTACTGCTTCTAACAACAGAGAGTAAAATGGCGAATAAATTACATCTGGATAGGTTCACTGGTTTACTCTATATACACATGGCAAAATTGTGTAGAAAATAAGGCTCCAAATTCTCTTGAGAATGGCTATTTTTCTCTTCCGTTTCTTTCTCTCTGAACATCGATTCCCCCGTCCCCCGTCCCAGTTGTAGGAAGACTAAATAAATAGTAAATTAAGTTAGAAAAGGAAAAACTGGTGCTTGACATTCCACCTTTTTAGATAGCCATTTCACATGACTCCTTTGAACCAGTTCACATAGCAAAGTGCTGAGAATATATGAATATGTACACAGCCTGCACCATTTAGTAGTCTGGGTATTCCAAGACTAATGTAGAAAGTCAATGCTCATTTTACATCGCAAATTATTTTTATGCATCTCTTCCTATCTTAACTTGGTTCTCCCTACACAGTTCTGATTTCTGGAATACTTTCCCCAAATGTCTTTGTGTGTAGTGGGCCGGGGGGGGGGGGATAGGAGAAAAATTTTCTTTTGCCCTAAAAGGTATATTTTGGGTGAATGTGCAAAACCAAAATTGAATTGTGTGAAACTGAACTAAATTTCTTTTTCATTTCCTCACCCTCTTTTTAAGTCCTAAGCATATTGATTTATATACAGGAATTTCA